TATTTTAAATAAATAATAGATTAGTAGAAGAGACTAAAGGTTTTTTGAAAGTTAGGTTTAAAAAAACTGTTGTTTTATACAAACTAGGTAAAAAATGGCACACCCAAAAATGTCTACACCTAGATGCTTAACAAAATATATTTCCTTTTCGTTTGCTAAGATTGTTAGCAGCAGGGTTGCATTTAAAACATTTTTCTTCAATCCCTCCCTTCATCCTAAGTGTTTTCTATTCACCACAATTGCGCTTATATGAAATAAGAATAATTTTAGGCAAAAGCTCAGTTTAGTAGTTGCATGACAGTAAAAAAGTAAAAACATGCCTACACTCAGGCGCATTTGTATATGAATTGCTAAATTCTAATATTAACGAGCAAAGCTTATATCCCTTAGTGAATACTAGTAAAAAAGTAAGCAAACTATAATGCCTACATTTAGGAGCATACGTTATCAAAGTCCCAAACTATTAGTTAAATAAAATGAAGTGATGAGTGGAATACGAAAAAAAACTTTTCTTCACAGAAAAAGTTACATAATTGAGCATAGCTTTTCAGTTATTTGATCTATGATACAAAAGCAAAAACATTAGGCGCATATATGACCAGTAGTTGAAATCCCAAATCATTTTGTTTTAGTCAAAAAAAAGTGTAGCTTTACTGAGACTGATGTTTGAAATAAACACATATATCTAAAATTAAATGCTAGTATAAAAAAAAATGCCTACATTTAGGCGCATATACATTTTTTTTATCAAAATCGCAAACCATAAGCTAAATAAATTTAGGGATTCATCAATGAATGAGCTATAAAAATATTTTATGAAAATAAAACTTTAAAATTCTTCTTTTGAGTACAGAATTGATCTGCTAAGCATAATCACAAGAATTTATATAATATATTTATATACTTAATTGATGCTCTAAGCTTTGCTTATTTTCGGTTTATAATATTAGTAAATATAAAAAGAAATATTAAAATTTATTCATAAATACCCGAAATAGACTGCCACTCAGTGGGCGATAGCTTAAATATGCGATGCAATTAAATACAAATACATTTATCTCAACAGAACAGAAAGAAATTTTAAAAAAAAGATTTGCTTTGAAAAGAATTTTTTTGAGACTATTTTTTTTTAAGCAGCTTACTCTCTATCGCTCTCTACAGTTTTGTCCTTCAAATTTTTTTGTGTCGTTTACTAGTTATTATGTTTTGCTGCACCGACAATGCTGAATTATTTGTGCACATTTTCACTGCTCAAATTCCTATTAAAAAGCTTTTCTATTTACTGGCAAACGTCACAGTTTTTTTTTTTTGCATACACTGTGCGTCAACAACTCACAAAAAGCAAACAGTTTTCGTGGTGATATTATATTTGGGAAATAATGTCATACAAATAGCATAGAGCAAACGGTGCCCACCTTGACACATACACATACTGTTTCTCACTCATACAAGCGCACGTGCACGCAATTAGTGCTGTGAAAGTAAATTAACTCTCAAAAGCCGTAAAAACAAACATTTTGCCATTTACTTATTATTTACATGGATTTTCATTTCGAGTGTGTGCTTTACATGTGTATGTACAAGTATGTATGTGTGCGCATGGCTGGCTGAGTGTCAATGTGTTGCGTGGATTTTCAAAGCTTAGCGACTGCATGCCGCATGTTTTATTACGCTCTAATTTATGGTTAACAATTTTAGTTAGTTTTATAACGGTTGTTGGCAGAGTTGAAAGCGTTGAATTTTTAACCATGCACTTTGGTGGTCGCAAAGTTTTCTCATTTCAACGGCAATACACACATACATACAACGGCTCATATAGAAATTCGTGGCCGCAAGAAAAAACACACATACAAACACAAACGTGCATGAGCGATTATGCCATCATAAGAAGGCACGTTGAAAAACGCTTTGAATGGCGCTTAACAGCACTGCGGCGCAATCCAATTGCGGCTTTTACTCAACATTTTCGCTAACTCATCAACAAATATGAGCTAGTTCTATATGCGAGTGTATGTGCATGGTTGTTGTACAGCAACATATGTAGCTGAGGCAAAGTGCTGGCGCAAATTTAGGGACCATTCAGCCTTGATGTGCCCTTTCGTTAGCGCCACGTCAGCGTCCTAGACGCGCGCGCGCGTCGCTTTGCATATCAACTTTGTTTTGCTGTTGTTGTGTTTTTTGTTATTTTTGATGTTTTTTGTTTTCTGTTTGCTATTTTCGGCATGATTTTGTGTTTATGATGCGTTGCAAAAGAGTCGTACATCATACTTTCGTTGGCGTTTATGGCGCTAAAGCACACACAGACGCACACATGTCTACTCGCACTTAGGCTTACATAAACACTTATACATTCATACATACATTAACACATAAGCGCACGCACTTTTGCTCATTTGTTCATATTTATGCGCATTCGACATGATAGATTCACATGATACACTCACAATACATATTCTATGCATGTATGTATGTGTGTATGTATGCGTTCATTAGTAGTAGTATTCACCATAAATAGGTATGTGCGGCTTTGGGAATGTAAATTTTATGCGTGTAACTTACATTGGCACATGATGCCTGGCGCAATTTTATTGTTGTTTAGCGCGTTGTGCGTTTGCTCTGCTTAAGCGCCCTAAAATATACTACTTTTTTTGTTTTGTTTATTTCTATGCCAGCATGCGTTCAATTTACTACTCATTCGTTGTGTGCAAATAGGTAAATAGTTTTAGTTTATTGGCATTCTGGTTTTGATTTACTGCACAAGCGATGGAGTAAGCAAGAACGCCTGACGACACACACGCGCGCCCACAAAAATGTCTGTATACAATATCCACAAAAATATACTTGCACAGCCATATCTAGCATGAGAATTGATAGCATGGTGGCACTAAAGCGCAGAAACCCATTCAAGCGCGACCGAATCGGCAGTGAGGTTACTCGAACAAAAGCTTGGCGCTGTTGGCAACGCGGGTCTTGTTATTACTGCTTACTCAGGGTAGCAGTAAATTCAATTGTTAGTGCGGTTTTCAAGTAAATTCAATCAAACTCTTTTCGAAAAGCTATTTACGGCATTAATAAATAACTCATATGTGTCTGTGTATTGGGAAAGCTATATAATATCTAGAATTTTGATAAATTTTATCTTCGAGTACTTAAAGAAAATGTATTGCAATCACACAAGTGAGAGCCTTGAACATTATTGAAAATAACATAAAAATATTCTTGTCTGTTAAGCACACTTAACTTATGAAAATTTCGGAAAAGTTTCCTTTAAGGAGTTATACCTACTTGCAAGTCTGAGAAAATGTGTTCTTTTTTTGGGACTTTTTTTTTGAAGAAGCATTTTATTTAAAAAAAATTATCGAAGCTATAATACTCTTCACAATTATAAAAGATTTCATACACTAACTTGATTTTGATCGATTAGTTTGTAGCACAGCTATATGCTATAGTAGTCCAATCTGAATAATTTCTTCGAAAATTTCATTATTGGCTTCGACATTGTCATGCCAAATTTGGTGAAGCTATCTCGTCAAATGAAAACTGTTTTCCATACAAACACTTGATTCCTATCGGGGTGTTTGTGTGATAGTTATATGCTATAGTAGTCCGATGTCGGCGGTGCAGACAAATGAGCAGCTTCTAGGGACTAGTTTACGTATTTACAGACAGATGAACAGACATATGGACATGGCTAAATCGACTCAGCTCGTCATACTAATCATTATTGGTTATATTTTGTAGGGTCTCTGACACTGCGTTCTGGGTATTACAAACATTGTGCCAAACTAAATATACCCTGTTCATGTTATCAAAATTAAATCCAAGACCATTGTCACTCAGAAGGAGACATCGGATACGTTATTAAATAAAATACATATACATAAATTATTAGCATGACAAACAGAGTGGATTTAGTCATATGCGTCTGTTTATCTGGCTCTCTGTCTGTCTGCATACACACAAACTAGTTGCTCAGTTTTTGAGATATCGCTCTGAAATTTTGCACATACATATCTCTTCTACCACAGGAAGCTGTTCATTGGTTGAAAGCGCCGATATCGAACCGTTAAAGGATATCGCCGTCATTCAAACTAACCGATCAAAATTAAGTTCTTGTAGGAAAAACTTTTTAATTGACAAGATATCTTCAAGAAGTTTTGTATAGACTACTATCCAAAGCAGTGATACAATCTCCGAATAAGTTTTTCAGATCGAACGACTATAGCATATATATAGCTGTCATATACGATTGTCTCAACCAAATTAAGTATTTCTTTTATAAATTTTTCTCACGAAATCTGACATAAATTATTCTCTAGTGCAGCGGAATCTGGAATCTCCGAGGACATTATTCAGATCGAACCACTAAAGCATATATCTGCCATACAATCAAGACACATATTTTCATAAAACATCTTCTTTCCTTTTTAATTAATTCGATTTGAAAGTTATATGCAAGTTTATAGCCAACATCGTGGCTAGTAAGAACTAGCAAAACGGTTTTCATTCGATGCAAACCGTTGGCCCGTAAGTTCTTCCGCTTTACCATAGCAACACATATAGGTGTTAAAAGAAATGTAGTTGTGAAGGGTGTTATAGCCGATGAAGTACTTTATTTAAAATCCGAAACTGTAATTTTTTTATGATTTAGTCTCTGCTTTTCGAACTAGCTTTCCTAAACTAACCTAAGCAACTAAAACAAAAGTTTTGCAAGTTCCAATTCGAAAATAATAGCAACTACACTCATTTACTCTCAGCAAAGAACCATTTCAAATTGCGGCTGTTGACTAATTATTATTGGTTTTTTGTGTGCTTTAGAAAATACGGCAACCACAGCGCATAAAATATTAAAACATTTTACTGCGCTTTTAGTATCCATATACACACGCTAGCTAACAGGATGCATGGAAGCGTGCACCAAGCACGGCGCCATAATTACAAAAACAATTGGCAACATAGTGTAGTTGATTATATATACATAACGGTAAAATGTCACTCACCAAATACACTATACACTTGACTGTGAAACCATCAACACTGTTGTTGTTGTTGTTGTTGTTTTGCTTGTAGTTGTGGTATATAATTTATTTGCTATTAATTTCACTTTCGTTGAGCACCACTACAAAAGCGCTTCGCTTAGCCACTTTGACTGACTGCTTGTGCCACAATCGGCCAGTTGGTCACTGCACTAATCGCTTGGCGCGCACGCCGCTGTACTCACGCACGCAAATTGTGATAAATTGAAATTATTGCATGCGGTCAGTGGTGGCTGCGCCAATTATTCAACATCAAACACTCTGCACTAGCGACAGCAACAACAGCTACACTTCGCTTTGTTGCAGCAATGTTGCAAACAAATTATAATGCGAATTTTATTGACGCTGACAAATGCCAAGAAGCGGCGCCTGAATTACTATGAAAAAAATTAATTTTTTTTATTAATTAAATTTTTTTTTATTATAAATTTTTAATATTTTTGTTTTTGTTGTTTTTTGTGTAACGGATATTAATGGTTTGTTGCAAGAATAAGACATAGGCTAAGTTGATCTTCGGCGAAGTTTATCTTGCTGTTTTTCTGTCAACAGAAATGTCGGTTAGCGCTAAGCAAATACGGTAAATGGGTCGAACGCCAAGTGGCATGCACATATACATACATATGTGACATATGAATGTATGTTTATACGTGTGTGTTTATATGCTTACTGCCAAAATTCGACCAGATTGTATTTACACAGGTCTGACAGCTGGCTCGCAAATTTCTTTTCACCTTTTTTTTTTGCTTAGCTTTTTGCTCGTTGTTTTTTGCTTTTTTTTTTTGCTTGTGGCACTTTATCTGCACTTATTTTTTTATTTGCAGTCACTCAAAACACTTAGGAGACCGAAAGGCGCACTAACTCTGACGGCACAACACATGTGTTAAAGTAATAGTAGTTGTTGCCGTTGTTGTTTTTGTTGGCCACAATTCGGTTGTTTGGGGATATATTTATACACAGTTGCTTGTATGTTTGTGTTTTATTTGCTGATTTCAAACACTTTCAAGGACTATTACCAAACTGTTTAACGGTAGAGACTTTTTGATTTTGAGTTTGTTGCCTTTTTGATACACTATGCTATACACTATAAATTAACGTATTTTAGTTATTGTTGTTGTTTGTCTACTTAGCTTCGTAACTGATTGTTTTTTTTTGCTATCACTTTTTCTTCTAACGGCTGCCTTTACCTGATACTATTTTTATTTATATTTTTATTTTTTACATTTATTTATTTATATTTGTTTTTGTTGTAGTTTTTTACATTATTCACCATTTGCCCCACGAGTGGCCCAATTTCATTACATCAACCAGCAAAGCTGCCAGCTAACGCGCTCTCCGCTGCTTTGGCGCGTGTTTATTTTTACGCAAACGAGAATCGCACACGCTTCTGACTTCAAAGGCGCCCAAGTCGAACGAATTTAGACGCGTCCATATCGCGGCGACACAGCGCCTACACCGTTAGCAAGCACAGCTACTCTACAAGCCACAGTACGCACACACGCACAGCACTTGAGATGGAAGCAGCTGCTGGGCGACCTGTATGCCTTCGGCTGTAATAAAACGAATTTCGCCTATTTAAATGTGAAACTTTCCAATTGACTTCTGCTGGTTTTATTACTTTTCCTTTTCGCCCCGAAAATTACACGATAAACATTTTCGCTTTCACGCATTCACACACACACATACACGCGCGCGCACCCGCTTGTACGCCTGTGTTTGTGTTGTCAGATTTTGAAAGCTGTGCCACAGTCACGCAAAATATTGTTATAGAGCACGAACAGCTTCCGGTAGAGCAGGCAGCGCTGAATCAGCTACACGCAACATAACTGTTTGCTTTATAACTATTTCTGGTTAGTTGGCACAAATAAGGGTCCACAAAATATATGCACTTTTTATTTTCGACTATCTAGAAAGGCACCAATTGCCTTGCCGCAACGCGCACTAACGTTATTAACGACGAACGCTAAATGTTCCGTTAGCAATTCGCTAATAAATCACCGTGTCACCGCGTCGCATACGCACGTTGTAACGGAGACGAGCCACGAATTTGAACTGAGATGCACGAATCTCCCAGCAGATACTTTTTGTGATATCAACAACACATTTACACTCGGCGACGGAGCGCCCACACGACACGACGAACAGCTGCGCGCTGACAACAGCGCCGACGACGCCGGCAGCGCAGCGCATCGCACATCGTTTGTAATGTAAAAGCGCACGAAAACGAAAGCAACAGCAGTCAAGAGTCGATAATGCACAACAGCTGTTCGCAACACTCTAGCTGTTAGCAACAACAGCGCTGTCGACAGCTTTACAGCGACGCCTAAATGTACGTAACATCGTCGTGGCTGCGCATGTTACTTGTAGTTCGCCAGCACACGAGCATTTGGCAGCGCTGACGATGTCGTCCATGTTGACGACGAGCGCCCGTACTGACCTGTGTTTGGTGCGTGGCTGCGTGTGTGCGTGTGCGCGTGAGTCGTCACCACTACGACGAGTGCGTTGTGTGCAAATGTTTACTTCGTGTTTTGTTGACTAGTTTTTCTCGATTTTCATCACTGTTTTTCACTTAATTTTCCGCTCACAATGGCACATGACCAGCATTAACTTCGTCGTACTGCGGCAGACGATGCGCACGCCACACGGTTGATTATATTATATTATATGTGTATACGTGTGTGTTTTTTGGTATGCAACATTTCTGTTCGACTGTTTGGGGTGCGTCGTCCGCGCTGTAAAGCACTTCATTCGTAGTAGCAACAATATATTTGCTTCGGCAATAATGTTGCCGCAACATTTGTTACTTTAACAGTTTGTGGAAGACGAAATATATTGCGAGCGCGTCTCTCACGTTATTTCAAGTAATAACAGCGACAAAGAATATAAATGTGGTTCATTTAGCAATGAAACTGATAGAGAATCTTTAGAGGGCATTTGACAGTCCCATTTCTTGACATGATTCGTCCTTTAAATTTAGTTCCAATACAATAGCTTTTGTCTTTTAGTATTTAGAAAAGTGATTATCAGGGGATGTAAAATAACCTGCTGTCAGCATCTTCTTCAAATGTAGAAGAGAACTTTCGAGCAGTAATCTGATTGTACCGAATTATATCCACAATCGCTCCAATAGCTTGACACAGTAGAGCATTGTGACTATTTTGCCCATCTCCACTGTCTCCACTACACTTTCTAAATACCAGGAAACCCTGATGGCCTCGCCTTCTTAGGGTTGGTTGAAGTGCGCTATTTCGGCTATGCCTAGGACTCTGGTCCTCCATGTTTCGTCGACGGTTACGAAACGACTCAGAAGCTTCTTCGGGTTGCACTTAACCAGCGTAAGCAATTACTGTAAAGTGATCTTACCCTTTATTTGTTGACTGGAGTGAGTGAGCGCATACACATTTCGCTGTCAGCTTTCTCATACCTAACATTTCACCTAGGATATGAGTTATGCGGTCTGTTTAAACACCTACTCGCTTTTTCCACTGACGATCTGCCAATAAGAGATCAAGAAGTTTTGTCAACTTATCTGCCGTGGTATTCGCTTCTAAATGTCGTCTAACGAAATCTACTCGTCCGCTTCGGCAACATGCTTTACACTAGCCGAATACGAATACTCGTCTTGTCGAATTACCTTCCCACGTATCTTAACTTCTCACAATTTTTTGTAATGCTTCGTTTTAAGATATTTATATAATTTATTTTTTAATTTCAAACTTGGACTCAGAAAGTTGAGCACTTTCGTTTTCTGCTTTATAATTTTTGAATTTTAGTAGACCACTTAAAAACTCGAGCTAATCAACACGAGGAGCCGCTCTCAACTAACGTTTATTGCCTTAATTAATCCTGATTAAATGACGAATCTCCCAGTTTATGTTGAGAGAGTGCCAAAAGAAAAAAAAGATCATTGAATATTTTTATTACTCGTTCCATTATGAGTCTAGCTTTGCTATTAATTAAGAATAAATATTTACGCTCTTTGTTAGCCTTCGACACAATATTTTAATTCCGATAAATGTTCGTTAATGAGAATCTTCAGTTAATGAGAAAGGAAATAAAACCTCAAAAATCAATTGAAGGTTTAATATTATGCGAATTTGAGGGTACTATACGCTAAGCGAAATGGTTTTTATCTGATTTGTAAAAATTTAATGCAGCAACTACGGTTGCATTACAAGGGAAAAATCGGATCCCACGAGATGATATCAAAATGCTGGAACTTCATGTGCCGACGTACGTGCGAGTACATATAAACAACGAAGGCTGCCGCAGATTTGTACAGCCGCATAAACAGGGGATTAACTTTGGGCGGACCCTGACATTGCAGATGTGTCATAAGCGACATAGACACACCAACGAATGCACCCTCGGGAATACAGCCAAATACTTGCTCTCTTGTGTGTGTATGTGTATAGGTTCACTCAAGCCAGACTTGCTGGTGCATCTGTGTGTGCTAGAACCTGATTAACAAACAGGGATTTAGCCGTTAGATTAGATGTGTCTATATTTTGGGCGTTAATGAGCACACAATGCGCCGCTTGACAGAAAGTCAATTGAGTCAATGACATTGGCGATTACTTCACAGCAGTGAGCGTAGCGTGTGAATTCGTTGGCGCTAAATCAATGTCGCCGTCTTATAGAACTCTAAATGTAATATATGGCCTTTTAGCTATTATAAGAGGCGGGATAAATATTTTGTTGGTTTTGCTTCTTTTACTTTTATACATATGTACATGTGAGGCAATGGATGCTACATGGTTCTATCACTGAACTGTGGAGTCTAACACTCAGTAACCGACCAAAGCGGTAATGGAACGTTGGAAGGACAAAAATATGAAAAAATCCTATCTTAAAACCTTTAGCAAATAATTCGTATATACTATATATACAATAGGGTGGAACGAAAAAAAAAAATTTTTTTTTTGCTTAGCCTGAGGGTAAAATTTGTAGATTTATTTTAACGTCTAGAAAAAATTCCCCACACAGCTGTAAAGTAAATTTTCAAGTTAAGACTTTTATTTCGTAAAAAAATTTTGATAAGCTGTGTAGAGTCCTCTTTCTGGCCAATTAAAAGTTATCAACCTAAAAAAAATGTTTGTGCTCAAAGTTGGAGTTTTAAAAAAAAGTCTGAAACGACAACATGCTTTCCTTGAGCGTTAAAATAAAGTTTGAGTCAAAAACCGTCACATTCGGTAATTTTTATATAAATGTAAAGAATTTAAATCACAATTATTTTTAATTGTCCCAAAAAATTTTAACTTGAAATTTACTTTAAAACTGAAGGAGCCGCTTTTAAATGTTAAAAAAAAAAATTTTCTGTCCAAAAATTTTCTTTTTTTATAATCATAATATAATATTTTTACCCTCAGTCTAAGACAAAAAAAATGTTTTTTCGCTCCACTTTAATATACATATATATATACCTATATATATTATATATATATTTGAACTGTAAATTAGGAAACAGTCTTTCACGTTCACTTTTTCATATCTAGTACTCCTATATTGGTCGAAGTATTAAATGTGATAATTCAAACCAGCCGTTCTATAACCGATTATGGGAACATATTATCTCTTCGTTCAAATATATCAATCACTCGGTGAAGCTGAGCAGCTTTGTCCTTCTAGAGAGTATATAAATAGATGATTATGTACGATATGCCCATTTAAAATTTTTTTTTGCTAAATCGACAAACTTTGAAACGATTACGTTGAAGTCCTCCAACATTTGCTACCAAGCTAGAAATAACTCATTCGGAGTTTTGGCCCTACATAAGGTAAAAATAAAATTTCATGGCGACATCTATCGGAGTCTCATAACTAATATAAACTATATATAATATAACTAATAAAAAATAAAAATGGAGGAGCATATCGTTCATTCAATTAATTATGTAAAATTATTTTTTAATTGATAACTTAATGAAATTATATGTCTATATTTACAATTTATCTTAAACTAATACTCCCACTCGATAAACCGGTTACACATCAACATAAATAGAGCGGCATTCTCATTTTCGAACGGCAGAAATAACACCTCTGACTCTCGTGAGCTAATCAGCGGTGTCGATGACCGCTGAACTTTCTCATATCCGTTTTTCCATTCGCAGTAGTCCTTTGCTTCAGGCATAGTAAAACTAACTGTATCATCTAGTATATTTTCTTGCTCTTCTTCTATGTCTTGCTCGGACTCGATAATTCTGTAACCCATCAACATAAACAAAGCTGCATTCTCCTTTTGAAATGGCACAACTAACATTTCTGAACCTCTTGAACCAATCAGCGGAGTCGATGATCGCTGAGCTGCGTGAATTTTCCTTTTCCATTCAACGTAATCGATCACTGCTATCGATTTATTAATATTGGTTGAAATATTTTCATTGATTAATTCCTCAAACTCTTGAGCTGCGCAGAAGCGCTCGTAGAATCCACCTTGGTCAATCTCTCGTAGTTTGTCAAACCTGCCCGTAGAGATCATTGCTAAATATTTGGCTATTTGTGTCAATGTAATTCCGTGAGTGGCCATATTTTTGAAATATTTTATCTACACGTATTTACTTGTACTGTTGGGGAAGTGATTTAGAAGTTACCGATGTGAGTGTTTGGAAGCGTATGACTTTAGACCATATGTGGCTTCCCTTTTATAGCTGAAATGTTGAGGTGGAAACAGGTAGTAAAGCTTGGGTAGTTAATTGGCGCAACCTTATTTTGTTTTGCATAAATCAGGTAAATAATATCATTTGAACTTGGTTATTAACCTTGGCAGTTACCATTTACTTTAAGTATTTAACTAAAATGTTTTCCTTATTTTCTCCAAACGCGATTGAATACATTGCTCTTGAACTTCATAAGTAATAGACCGATTTCGTACCAATATTAAAAATCGATATTTAAATTGAAAGACTGGTTACTCTCTATCTCTCTATCTCTAGTACCAAAACTGCTCTGGTCTATATTTTGGCATTTGCATGAAATATTATCTATCGGCAATCTTGTAAAGATAAAAATTATGCATAGCGGAGCAAACTTCGCTGCCACACTGTTTCGATGTTTTCTTTGCTTGTTGACGTAGTCGCACCTCCATAATGCTCATCG